GCCTTTCCCTCTGGCGATCGCCATGCTATTGTCTGTGTCCTGCAGTCTTCCTTTTTTCTTTGTTTAACCCCTTCACCCTTCTCACCCAGACCCCAACCCCCCCCTCTGACGGTTGTCAGTCTGTTCTCCGTATCCATATGGGAGTCTGTCTCCACTTTGTTAGTCTATTTTGTTCATTAATCCCACATAAAAGTGAAATCACATGGTCCTTGTCTTTCTCTGGCTGGCTTATTTCACTTAGCATGATACTCTCCAGGTCCATCCGTGCTGTTGAAAAAGGTAAGATTTTCTTCTTTTATACAGCTGAGTACCATTCCGTTGTGTAAACTACCCAAAGCAATCTATAGATTCAATGCAATTCCTAGCAAAATACCAANTATTCCGTTGTGTAAACTACCCAAAGCAATCTATAGATCCAATGCAATTCCTAGCCAAATACCAAAGGCATATTTCACAAAACCAGAACAAATAATCCAAAAATTTATACGGAGCCACAAAAGACCCAGAATAGCCACAGCAACCTTGAGAAAGAAGAATAAAGTTGGAGGAGTCACGCTACCTGATATCAAACTACGCAGCGAAGCTGGAGTAATCAAAACAGCATGGTGCTGGCATAAAAGCAGACATATAGATTAGTAGAACAGAATAGAGACCCCAGAAATAAACCCACGCCTCTATACTCAATTAGTATTTTACAAAGGAGGCAAAAACATATAACGGGGTAAAAATAGTCTATTCAATAAATGGTGTTGGGAAAATTGGACAGACACATGCAAAAAAAATGAAACCAGAACACCTTCTTACTCCAGACACAAATAGTTTTAATAACAATTTTTATAACTTAAGCAAAAATATTTGAATTGTTGAATTTTGTGAGGGAGGTTTAGTCAATTGAGATATCCAAGTACAACTCCTTTCTCTTGGTGAGCATTCAGCTATCCAAAGTCATCAGTCAGTAGATGATTTTGTATCATGATTTCACTCATACGTGCGACCTAAAGAACAACATAAACAAACAAAACAGAAACAGGCTCAGATACAGAGAACCGACTTGGTTGCCAGAGGGGAGAGGGTTAGGGGGCTGCGTGAGAGCATGTTAGAAATCCAAATTCCTGCACCCTGTCCCAGAGCTATTTTTATCCAGCTGTATTGAGGCATGGTGGACAAATAAAAATTGTACATATTTAAGGTTCCAGTGTGATGTTTTGATATACTTACCCGTTGTGAAATGATTACCACAAACAAGCTGATTAACATATCCATCACCTCCCATAGCATTTGTGCGTGTGTGTTAGCAAATTTTAAGATATACTGTGATAGCAAATTTTAAGTATAGACTACATCATCATTAACTATAGTTACCATGCTGTATGGTAGATCCCCAGAGCTTAGTCACCTTATAACTAACAGTTTATACCCTTTGACCAACATCTCTCTATTTCCCCCACCCCTACCCCCTGGAAACCACCATTTTACTCTGTTTCTGTGAGCTTGACTTTTTAAAATTCAACAACAAAAAATGAAATAATTCAGTATTTATCTTTCTATATCTGGCTTATTTCATTCAGCATAATTGTTACTGGGAAACCCAGGTTGGGTTTGGGCTGCCCATCTCTTTGTCCAATTCACCGGAGGCAGGGTTGAATCATAGAAGACGTTTATCGAGAAGGCCAGCCAACCAAGAAGACCGGGGCTTACAGCATTCAAAACCTGTCTCAAGGAGCGGCCTGAGGGAGAGGGTTATGTCGGGAACCGGGGGAAGCTGAGGCTGGGAAGGGAATGCAGCTATGCAGCTACGTGCAGTCCTGGAGGTCCTCAGACGTCACCCTTTTGTTCTTGGTCATCTGCGATGTCTGGATAAGATGATATCTTGACTCCTGGTTGGGCCGGCCTGACCGTGTCCACAGCTGTGTCACCTCCTCAATTGCTTTGTCAGGGATCAAGGGGAGTGTATGGGTGCAAAGACCTAAGAAAAAGAAACTTAAGGAAAAAGAAACTTAAACTCCTGTTCACATAACACATAAGTATATGTATTTTATAATTTATAAGTAATATGATTATATTTCAGATCAATTCAAGCGCTCAATCTATTGAAATTATAAGTGCCCCTCTCATAATGTCCTCCAGGCTCATCTCTGTTGTCACAAATGGCAGGATTTCCTTTGTTTTTAAGGCTGAGTAATATTTATTTTACAGATAGACCACATTTTCTTTGTGCATTCATCCATTGATGGACACTTAGGTTATTTCCACAACACGGCTGATGTGAATAATGCTGCTGCGAACACGGGGGTGTAGATTTCTCTTCAGACTCCCAGGACTATTGAGTCAGAAGCTCTGGGTGAGGCCCAGCCATCTGAGTGGCAACGAGAACTCCGGATAAGTCTGATGGGTGCTCAGGTGGAGAAGGGCTGGCCTGGGAAAATGTCAATGAAAGTCTAGATTGCTACGGGTGGGAAAGGTGCAGAGCATGGTTTGTTAAAAAATTAGAAAGACATTCAAAAATATACATATATGATTAATTGCACATGGAATGTGAGTGACTCTCTGGATCTCTGGACTCTTGCCATTAGCAAGAGAACAGTTTTCCAGAATCCTAACCCATTCACTTCCCCAGAATGTCTTAAATAAATCAAAATAAAGAAAAGAACCATTTGCAGAGAGTGTTAAGAGTGGTTCAATCCATCTCAGCCAGAGATTAATTCTTACTTTAATATTTGGGAAGATATTAGGCTAATTTATTTTTCCGAAGGTCCAACATGGGAGTTGAATTGATGAAAAACTTTATCTCCATCGAGGTCTTACAATGTAATAGTAAGCCTATTGTGCTGTTGCCTGTCATGTTTGCAATTTATCCACTTAAAGGACATTCTTACTTTAAGAGAGATTTCTGTGACAGCGTTTTGATCTCATTTCCTGGGACAAACAGTATCAATCATTTTGGGTTCTACAGAAGAGATTTTATTCTTGGAAATTATTTTCATATCAATTTAAACTATTTTTGTCCTGAATCAGACATAAAAGACAAGGCAACCCTTAATTTCAGCTGCCTACTCTCCAAATGTACAGGTTATTTGTATTTAAACTTGAGATGTGTTCCTGAAAAGCCAATGATTGGGTGCTGGCGCTCTGGGAAAATGTTTCAGATGAACCTCAGAGCTAGGACACTCCTTTGGTGGTTTCTAATGTTTCTCAGCCAAACCATCTCAGTCAAAATTCTATAAACTAACAATTTTTGTGGATGTTTTTCAATTTTATCACATGAACTCCAGCGGTCAATCCAAAGCCGTCTCATTCATAAAAATGATGCTTCTGCTGCACTGAAATTTAAGCGAATTTCAGAAGAGCAAGACTTCTGTTGTAACAGTCCACAGGGTACACATTGACTCTTCATGCATTCAGCAGATGTGGATTGAGGACCTAATCTAGGCAAAGAATTTTGCAAAAACCTGTGCAGAACATAGGTATAAATAAATTCTGAACCCATGCTAAAGCTCACTGTCTGTGGACAAGTCAGCTTCCTTTTCTGCCATGGCAAACATCATCCGTGCCCAACCTTTAACCAAAGAAGGCTCTCAGATTCTGGAGACAACTTGAGTTCTCTTCATATCTCTGGTTTCTCTCTCGCCTGGACAGTAATTTCCAGTAAACTAGGTGGTCTCTTAGAAGATCGAGCCAGACTGGTATTGTTCAGAGCCATTTATAAACCTGGTGTAATCCAATATGGATCAATTTAAGTTCCTAAATTTATACCCTGAATCCCAACAATCTACCTAGATGACAAAGAAAGTGTGGCTTTAAAGTGGCACAAACATAAAAATGGCCCGAGTCTTACTTGGGGGAAAGCTTGATATGAGTCAGTGAATACAACTTAGACTACTTTTTAAACTTTTTAAATCCTCCCCCGAGGATACATTTAGTGATTTTAGAGAGAGGAGAGGGAGGGGGGCAGAGAGAGAGAGAAAGAGAGAGAGACATCGATGTGCGAGAGAAACCGATTGGTTGNCCAGAGAGAGAGAAAGAGAGAGAGACATCGATGTGCGAGAGAAACCGATTGGTTGCCTCCGTATGTGCCCTGCCCTGGGATCGAACCCACAGCCCAGGTATAGCTCTGACGGGAATCGAACCCGCAACCTTTCTGGTGTACGGACGACGCTCCCACCAACTGGGCCCCCGGGGGCTGGGCTGCTTTGTAGCGGGGTCTTCAGCATAAGGAGGTAATGGTCCCCCCTTTTCCTGCGCTAGTCAGACCACACTTATGTTCAGCTCTGGGGACAGCAGCGACACCCTCGAGGGGCTGAGAGCACGGTTCTGGAGCACACAAAGTGAAGTATACGTGCTGCTCGGGTCATAAATGTGGTGTTTTCCATGGCTACGCGGTCTGGGGAGGAGGGAGTCCAGCTGAGCAAGGCCCTGCCCTCGGTGCCTCAGGGGGACACCGAGGCTGCCGTCCGGGGCACTGTCCTGGCTGGGCCACCTGGCTCTGCCCGGGCCCGGGCCCAGCGGGCAGCGCTGCCAAAGCCCAGCCCTGCGCCAGGAAACCCACTCGGGGAGCACGCTGGCCCCCCTTCAGCATGGTCTTGTCAAACCAATATTTGTGGAAGAGAGGAGGGCAGAAATAGGGAGGGGGAAACGGAGGGAGAAAATGAGAAAGGCCTTTCCTAAATCATTTGTGGTAATAAAAATTACTTGCTGTGGGAATTTTTATTGCCAGAGCTGGAGCAGAGGAAAGAAGTGCAAGGTTGGGATGAAGACACCTTTCCCCAGGGGTCATGCTCCGAAAAAGGTGGATTACAGCATTTTGCAAACAGATCGAGTTAAATGAAACAAAAAATATAAACGACCGCTTGAAGAGAAAACTCCCTTACTCACGGGAGATCCAGCACTGCGGCAGTGGATGACCTGCTTACGTAAAGTTCTGAAAAGTATGTATGTTACTTGATTTTGAATATAATTTCTTATAGTTGAATTTTGAGGTTATTTTTGCAATAATTAGAATTCTTCACTTTCCTTTTCCGATGTTTGTTTTATCATTTTTAAGTTTGCCAAACATTTGGATTTGGGCTTATAATAAAAAGGTAAATTTTATTTTTTATTCACAAATATTAACATTTTTCTTCTTCATCTTACACTCTTATAAAGAGTTTAAAGTTTTGTTGAGATTTTCATGTATCTGGTAAAGTTCACCACCTCCCATAGGCAGCATTATTACAGCTAGAATCCTTGGATAAAGTTTTATATATGTTGTGTGCATTTTTAAATTTCATCGTTGCATCGGCCCATGAAGAGGTCACGGGTTCAATTCTGGGTCAGGGCACATGCGGGGCTTTCGGGCTCGATCCCCAGTAGGAGGCGTGCAGAAGGCAGCCCATCGATGTTCCTTTCTCATCGATGTTTCTCTCTATCCCACTCCCTTCCTCTCTCTCTAAAATCAGCAAAAACATATTTTCTTAAAAAATAAAATTTCATCATTATTTTCCTTTTGTTAAAGGATTGATCAATTTTCTTTCCACTAGCCTTAAAATATTTTGACCATCGTGGAACTGGGATCTTTAAACCATGTGCTCTGGATGCCGAAAGATTTTGATTCAGTGGAAAAAGCATGGTCATCATATATTCCCACAAACCTATTCTCTGTGAAAGCTGAAAATGTATCCCATGAGGAATTGACCAGGTAGCAGGAGACAGTCACACAGCTATTGTCATTACCCTTGGCTGGCACCTCGGACCCTTTCCCATCAGTGTTTTCTTCTGTAGGGCTATCAATGTCTAAAAGGCCATTGAATGTCTGTTCTTGCAAAGCCCAGAGACCAAGGTGGTTCTTAGAACTGCAAACACCAGGGAGCTGTGTCTAAATGCAGAGCTGTGTAGTGACTTTCATGGTTATACTCAGGATCTTATCATGAGGGGTATTTTTGTGGATCTCAGCGCAGGTATTATTGACGCCTGGGACATGACTATCACGTATGGCACGAATAATACCCATCCACCTGATGATGTGATTGGAAATCAGATGAACATGTTTCTATATTTGTTAGAGGAAAAATACAAAAAAGCAGCACTGGCCACTCTCTATAGATGGCCTCACTTATACTGCAAGGGAGGTTCAATGCAATCCAAGGGAGGAGGAAATAATGTTAAATCATTTTTTATTCTAGTCAAATATACATAACATAAAATTGCCATTTAAGCCATGTTAAATGTATAATTCAGTGGCATTATGTACATTCACAGTGTTGTATAACCATCACCACCATCTATCCTCAGAATTTTTCATCACCCTCAACAAAAGCTCTGCACCCACTGAACAGCAACTCCCTGTGCTCCATATTTCTCAGCCCCTGGCAACCACCCTTCTCACTGTCTCTGTGAATTAGACTATTGTAGGGAGTTCAGACTAGTGGGATTATACAGTATTTGTTCTTTGTATTGGCTTATTTCACTTAGAATAATACCTTCAAGGTGCATTCATGCTTTTGCAAGTCTCAGAATTTCCTTCCTTTTAAGACTGAATATTATTCTATCGTATGCATCTGCCACATTTTGTTTATCCGTTTATCTGTTGATGGACACTTGTGTCGTTTTCATCTTTTGACTGTTGTGAACAGCGCTGCAGTGAGGAGGAAACCAAGTTTAAAGGAATGTCTCCAGGGCTGAGTATTATGACAGAAGAGCAAAACATCTTTATTCATAATTTAAAGAAATGTACAGTCCAGAAAGTAGACTAAACGATTCAAGTTTAGAGAAAATGTGATCTGTAGGAGAAACCTAAATGGAATCATAATAGTAGACTTCTTGCTTAAGAAAATTATTTGAAATTTATTCTCATGGTTCCAGTGCGAATCAAGGATAATAGTCCGAAACTCACAGGCTCGTTGAGAGAAACCAATTAAGTATTATGTCAATATACAGACTCTGAAACCCTGGTTCTTACTGAACCTAAAATATGGGATGAGATCTCATCCACAGGACCTCAAATTATTTTATAAGCTTTGTCTCTAAATCTTCCTATCAGAATAAAAGTATCCACCCTTTCCATTAATACACTTGCGGTCTCAGGAGTGGAAATATTGTTACTCGAGGATGATTCCCTTGTTTGGAATGTTTCTCAGTGAGAGAAAGTGAAGTCATAACAAAGGCCAGGTCGTGTAGCTTAGGACTGCGCTCTCTAAAGAAGGGAAATCCAGAGAAATTTAGGAAATGTACAGTAGAAATTCCTTCCTTGTATGGAGCTACTCATTGGTTCTAATTCTTCCTATAGGGAACTTTCAAAGTAAATCTTTTTCCAACCATTGCACTCCTAAGTGCTTACATGAGTTACCATTTCCCCACCAAAGCCACCTCCAATTTCTTTAACCTAGTTCTAATATCATAAACTTTCTAGTTTTCTTACCATTGCTCTTCTCCAAATGCACGTAAGTTTGTCTATATGTCTCTACAACATGCCTTCTAGCCCGTCTCTCACCGGAGCAAATTGAAAGCCTTAACTTAAATGTGATCAATCAGCATAGAATGATGAGGGCCTATTACTTCTCTTGTTCTCAAGCTGCACTGTACAATATGATAGCCCTTAGTCACATGTGGCTGTTTAAACTACATTACATTAAAAATCAGTTCCTTGGTTGCACCAACTATATTTCAAGTGTTCAATAGCCACATGTGGCTAGTGGCACTCTACTAACAGCACAATATTGCTTTCATTGGTCTCTGGAGAGTATTTTTAATGTTTTGTTGTATTGTTTGGATGCGTTTTCAACAATAATATTTTATAAATTTTTATAGAGAGTAAAAAAATCATGAAATATTGCTAAATGTCAGACTCTTGACTTTTAAGCCATTTACTTCTGGTTTAATCTTTTAAAGACATCCTGGTATCTATATATTTCATAAAATTTTGGCCTTGAAGTGATAGTCCCAGGTCATTACAGATATTGACCGTATTGTCAATATATAAGACTTGAGCAAGCCATTTGAAATTGTAGAAATGTATTTGACTGGTATTATCAAGCATTTTTCAAAAATGCCATGTATACATAATGGAATGGAACTAGAAATCAATACCAAACAGAAAACTGGAAAATTCACAAATATGTGGAAATTAAATAATAGACTCTTAAATAGTCAACTGGAAGAAATCACAAGGGAATTTAGAAAATATTTGGAGACAAATTAGGATAAAACCACAACATATCAAAGTTTATTGGATGCAGTAAAAGCAATACTAAGAGGGAAATTTATAGTGATAAATGCTTACACTAAAAAAGAAAAAAGATGTCAAATTAATTTCCTAACTTCACACCCAAAGGAACTAGGGAAAGAAAAGCAAACTAAACCCAAGGAAAGGAAAACTTACCCAAAGTAAGAAAAACAAACTAAGCCCAAGGACAAGGAAGCATAAAGGTTAGAGCAAAGGTAAAGGTAATAAAGAAAAGAAAAACAATTGGGAAAAAAGTCAACAAAACCAATAGCTGTTTTTTTTGGTCAGGACCACAAAAATTGACAAACCCTAAGCTAGACTACTTAGGGAAATGAGAGAGAATCAAACAGATAACATTAGAAAGGAAAGAGGAGACATTACAACTAATTTTACAGAAATAAAAAGAATGTTTAGAGACTGCTATGAGCAATTATATATCAACAGGCTGGACAACCTAGGAGAAATGGGTAAATTCCAAGAAGCATACATCCTACCAAGACAGGATCATGAAGAAATGCTAAATCTGAATAGACCTACGACTACACTGAATACAGTGAGAACATACAGTGAAAGCAGTAATCAGAAACTTTCCAACAAAGAAAAGCCCAGGACCAGGTGGCTTCACTGTAGAATTCTACCAAAGAGTAAAGAAGAATGAGCAGAAGGGAATAAGTGCTTCCAAAACTCATGCTGTGAGGCCAGCATTACCCTGATACCAAAGATGCAACAAGAACACTACAGATCAATATCTCTGATGAATATTGATGCAAAACTCTAAACAAAATACTAGCAAGTCAAATTCAACAGCATGTTCAAAGGATCACACCTCTGATCAAGTGGGGTTTATATCTGGAAACGAGGCTAGTCCAAAACACAAAAATAAATCAGTGCCATGACCACACTGACAAAATGAATGACAAAACCCCATGGTCATCTCAATTGATGCAGACCCAATACAATCCTTATCAAAATTCCAATGGCATTTTTTTGCAGAAATAGTAAAAAAAAAATCCCCAAATTCATATGGAATCTCAAGGGAGCCTGAATAGCTAAAACAACCTTGAAAAAGAACAAAGTTGGAGAATTCAGACTGCTTGATTTCATAATAATATACAAAGCAACAGTAATGGAGGTGTTGCGGCACTGGCATAAAGGTAGATATAGAGACTAATGGGACAGGATAGAGAACCCCAAAATAACTCCTTGCACATATGGCCAAGTGATTTTCAACAAGGGTGCCACGCCTACACAATGGAGAAAAGACAGTCTCTTCAACAAATGGTACTGGAAAAACTGGATATTTACATGCAAAAGAATGAAGTTGGACATTTACCTAGTACCGTATACAAAAATTAGCTCAAGGGAAATTAAAAACTTAAACACAAGACCTACAATTATTGAGCTCCTAGAAGAAAACATAGGGGAAAATCTTCAGAACATTAGGCTTGGCAATGACTTCTCTGATATCGCACTAAAAGCACAGGCAACAGAATAAAAAATAGACAAATGGGACTATACCAAACACAAAACTTTAGTATGTCAAAGAAAACCATCAATAGAGTGAAAAGGTGACTTGCAGATTGGGAGAAAATAATTGCAAATCATATATGTGATGAGGTTAATATCCAGAATACATAGGGAACCCCTACGACTCGACAGCAACCACAAAACAAATAACTTGATTAAAAAACAGGCACAGGAGTTGAATAGACATGTCTCCAAAGAAGATGTACAAGTGGCCACCAGGCATATTAAAAGATGCTCAGCATCACTAATCATGAAGGAAGCGCAAATCAAAACCACAAGGAGATGTCACCTACACCCTTCAGGATGACAGCTGTCGAAAGAACAGAAAATAACAAGTGTTGGTGAAGATGCGAAGTTGAAACTCTTGCGCACTGTTGGTTGGAATGTAAAATGTGCAGCTATTATGGAAAATAGTATGGAGGTTCCTCAAAAAAAACTAAAAATAAAACTACCATATGATCCAACAATCCTGCACGGGGTATGTATTCAGAAGAAATGAAATCAAAATATCAAAGTCTCCAGTGACCTTCCTTGTTCCTTGTTGCATTAGTGACAATAATCAAAATATGGAAACAACCCAAACGTTCATTGACAATGAATGACAAAAGAAAATGCGGTGTATGCATGCAATGAAGTACAATGCAGTCTTTTAAAAAGCAGGAAATCCTGTTACATGCTACAACGTAAATGAAACTTGAGGACATTATGCTAAGAGAAATAAGCCAGTAACAAAAGGACAAATGTTATATGATTCCCCTCAGATGAAGAATCTAAAGTAGTCAAGATCATAGAAACAAAATTGAAAGGTGGTTATGAAGGGCTGGGGAGTGGTTAGAGGGTTTAGAGTTTTAGTGTTGCAATATGAAAGTTCTAGAGACATGTTGCACACCAATGTGAAGATCTTAGTGCTACTGAACTGTACATTGAAAATGGTTAAAATAGTAAGTTTATGTGTGTTTCATAACATACACACACACCCCCCCCCACACAATCACTGAGGCATGTTTTTTTCCTTCATAGCAAATAAACTTCAATGTAGAAATCAAGAGCATGCATTTCTTTGCCCAGCCTGCTGAAATGAAAGTCTCAGTTAAAGACCTGAATTCTTTATTTCCTTCCAGAATGACTCATTGTTAAAAAACCAACTGTTTTGTTCTCTGTTAATAAAGCAGCGCGTGGGTTGGCCTCAGGTATAAGTGCTGCACAGATAGCTGCTGCCTTAGTAGGAGGAGCCCAGTGCTTTTTTCGTTTCTACACCATAGCTCGTTGAGTAGCTTGCAGGAACAGTCTTCCTCTGCAGCATGAGCTTTCAGTGACAACCAGAAGCTTTTAAATCACGAGCTTCAATCTCTTATAAATGCCGCACAGAAGCCAAGAACT